TATATATATATATATATATATATATATATATATATATATATATGATGATGATGATGATGATGATGATGATGATGGGATTAGCCCACTAGCTCATATGAACATATGAGCCCAACGTCCCAGATTAAATCTAGGTTGATCTGATGCTCACGGATGTCCGGTAGCGCTTAAACTTTTTTTTTTTTTCTACATATCCAAACTACTTAAAAATGTATAATATGCTTCATGCCTTTCAGTTTCATAATTTTTTGGAATATGTGACACAACAATGACATATGTGGATCACGCACAATGTTTTTCCAAAAAAATTGCTTCCATTAATATTTGGATTTGTTTCCTTTTACCTAATTTCTCAAAAAAAAATTGTCATCAAGATACAAAAAAAAAAAAGATCGAAACAATATCTTGCATGCATAAACGCAGTAGCGCAAGATATAGAGAAATAGAGTTGCACCTTTTCTAGAGAGGGTTTACACGAGATTAGGATATGATAGAAAACTTTTTAGCAAGAAGAATACAATTTGCTTTCACCAAATGTGATTGTTCAACGTCTGAGACACACTTGCACCCTCGCACCAAGTTGCATGCTTTGCATAAGGCTTATTTCTTCGTAATTCTTAGAACATAACGAAAGAGGGTATTTCCATATTTAAGCATGACTTATCTTTTTTCTATTGATCAATATGGATAATAAATCCATTATTTTTCTATCTACAAATTAGATAAATCATCATCATCATCTAAACTTTATTCCAAATATTTGAAGTCGGCATAAATAAGATAAAACACACTTTACAAAATACTATAATTTAAAAGGCGTGGTTTATATAGTTTAAAATGAATACTATATTGAAATGATACCAAGTCCTTTTCTATAACAAAAATATAACAGTATGATTCTACATGAGCATGTCACATGCCACTCATTTTTAAAATCTGTATTTTAAAAATTGTTGAGCTTGTTCGAAATCTCCCGAGTAAGCTTGAGACTTGTGGGTACCGGTCCGAGTCTAAGATCCTCCAATTTTGCCTAATTCCTACAAATTCTCAATTATTTTACTCTTTAGTTCTCTATTACAAATCTCCAAACAGACGCCAATTGGTTTGAGAGGCTTAAAAGTAGTGGGTGCCTAGTTAGACCTACCAATTATGTTTTTCAAAAAACTAGGCATGTAATTTGTATAAATATTTAAAAAGTCAATTCGGGCTTACTTATAAATATAGTCGGGATTGTAAATAACGAGACCGTTTTACCTTTGATACAAGTAGGTCACATACTTATAACCATCTAATGTGAAATCTGACAACTTGAATGTGTCACAAGAAAAATTATTTTGAACTTTGAACTTGATTAATGAAATAAATGGAACCACCCAATTTCACTTTCAATGGTCAAGATTAATCATGACTACCTTATACCAGAGATAGATGTTTCATTATATACTTTCTCTAAACAATCACAGTAAGACACACCTAAATATTTTGCTAAAAAACAAACAGTTTTGGTACCAAAACCTTGTCTATGGCCTAAAATATATTTTTATCTCTAATTATAAAATTTAAAAATTTAAAAATAATATAAGATCGAATAAATCTATAAACACTTGAAATATTTGAAATTGGTCAGTCTAGATAATATGTTACGCTGAAAATACTTTTTCTTCGTATCCATAAATTTTGATATCAAGATGATCAATCCGTCTAAACAATGTGTTCCAACGTGTAATCTTTTTAAAACTTGAAATACCTTTTCATATCCATAAATTTTGAGATTAAGAATCAGTATGTGTAGATAATGTGTGGGACCCTGTGATCCTGGCGGACTTGTCTGATTCACAGTGAGTTTTCTTCACCGGTCCAGTAAAACAAAATTGAACTCCAGGGTCCACCAAGACCTTTGACATAATAAACGCACTGTCTTACAAATTCCCCATTTAATCATTTTGAAAATGGAGCTCAAACTTGCTTGAGAAGAAAACACAAGTTTCCCAGTCTAGAGAGAGAGAGAGAGAGAGAAGGGAGAAGAGAGAGAGAGAGGAGGACTGAGAGTAGAAGCGACGGAGGGAGACTACGTTCGTTAACGAAACGGTCGGTTGGTTTGGTTCGTTTGACTTCCTTACTAACGTAGAGAGAGAGAGAGAGA